CATGTATCTAGTTTCGGCGGGGAGAAGAGCTTTGCTTACATAGTACACTGGCCGGTCAGAACCGTCTTTCGCCCTTCGAACCAGGACGGAGCTCACGGCTCGCTCGGAGACCGCCCGGTAAAGGTAGAGTCGCTCTCCACTCATGGGGGCGCTCAAGACAGGTGGCGAGCTTAGCTGACTTGTTAGTAGGGTGAAGGCTTTGTCGCACTCGGCACCCCATTGGAGTTTTGAGGCTGACTTTCTGAGCATCTGAAAAAATGGGGAGCACTTATCCGCAGACCGCGGGATGAACCTTCCAAGCGCGGCCATTTTACCGTTGAACGCCTGGATTTCCTTGATCGTCTTTGGCGGTTTCAGGCTGCGGATGGCTTTTATCTGCTTCGGGTTAGCTTCTATTCCTCGCTTCATGATCATGAAGCCGAGGAACTTCCCTGCTTCGGCTCCGAAGACGCACTTGAGTGGATTGAGCCTTAGGTTTTTCCGTCGCAGAGTCTCGAAGGTTTCCCGTAAGTCGGAGAGGTGGTCCCCGACTTTTTGCTTTTGACTAGGACGTCGTCAACGTAGGCTTCGACATTTCTCCCCATCTGGTTTTTGAAAACCGCGTCGACCATCCTCTGATAGGTCGCCCCCGCATTTTTTAACCCGAATGGCATGACTACATAGCAAAAGTTACCCATGGGTGTCATTAATGCGGTTAGCTCTTGGTCGCTCTCCGCCATCTTGATTTGGTGGTAGTCCGAGAACATATCTAGGAAGCTGAGCGCCTCATGGTTGGCAGTCCCATCTATTAGTTGGTCAATGCGGGGCAGAGGGTACGCGTCCTTGGGGCACGCGGCATTGAGGCTGGTGAAATCGATGCACATCCTCCAGGTGCCCCCGACCTTTCGTACAAATACTGGGTTGGAGAACCACGTGGGATATTGGACCTCTTGTATGAAGCCAGCTTTTAGGAGGCGCCTTACCTCCTCCTCAAGTGCCATTTGTTTTTCCACCGACAAGTGTCTCCTCCGCTGCTGTATAGGCTTTGCTTTGGGCTTGACGGAGAGTCGGTGCTCGGAGGCTCGGCGGGGGACGCCTGGTATATCTTTCGGACCCCATGCGAAAAGGTCCTGAAACTCTCGGAGGAGGGATAGTAATTTCTGAGCTTCCTCGTTGGCCAAGTGGGCTGAGATGCGCACGGTTTTGCTTGGCTTTTCTTTGTTGAGGGGAACCGCTACATCGCCCTCAACCGCCTCCGGACGGGGTACGTCATCCCTTGCGTCGACCATGTCGACCTCCAAATGTTCAATCTTCGCTTGGTAGCATTCCTTGGCGTCCTTGGGGTTGCCTCGGACGCGGCCTGTTAGGCTTCCACTCTGGAACTTCAGCATCTGATGGCAGGTTGAGGCGACCGCTTCGAAAGTTGCAAGAAAACGCGGCCTAAAATAGCGTTGTAGGCGGAAGGGCAGTCCGCGACGTAGAACTCCACCGGACGAGTCTTCGTAACTCCGCCTTCCCCTATGGTGACTTTGAGGGTGATTGACCCGAGGACGCGGACTTTTGTTCATGAGAACCCTACCAGACTGGTGTTGGAGGTCTTGGACGGTCTTCTTCATTCCTTTGAGCGCCGAGTAGAACAGTATATCCGCCGAGCTCCCGTTGTCGACTAGGGCTCTGGTGATTTTGAATTTGGAGGTTCGGAAGGAAATGACCAAGGGGTCCTCTGAGTTTTCTTCGTTGGCCAACTCAGAGGGCAAGAAGGCGACCTCTGTCGGTGCTCTGCGTTGCACATTGAGGCATTGTGCGATGCGGTCTCCTTCGGTTCTTGGGCGCTTTCGCCCTCCCGCGATCGTTATGACTTCCAATCCGTCCTCGTCGTTCCGAGGTGCTCTGTAGGGGGGAGACTGCCTCAAAGGGGAGGCGGCTTTGTTTCGGGAGCGGGATCTTGATCTTTCCTTTCTCATCCGCCTTGTCTTGTCCTGTTCAGGACTCGGAGACTCCTCCCGCTCTTCTGTTGAGTGCTCTCTATGAGACCGTTTCTAGCTTGCTTCTTAGGTCTCCCGGGGCCAGATGTCGCAGCGTAGCCTTGAACTCTCTACACTCTGTGGTGTCATGGGTTGTGATTTGGTGCTAGTCGCACCACTTCTTTCCTTCCTGCGGTTCTTGGGCGGAAGACGTCTCGTACTTCCTTCCGCCTTTCTTTCGATCTCTGCCCCTTTCCCTGTCGGTGGAACGCACGTCTCTTCTTCCTTCTCGATCAGTGTACCGGTTTCGGTACGACCTTCGGTCTGGGGATCGCCTTCCCCTCCGGGAGTCTCCACGCTCTGAGGCGTCTCCGCGGGGGCGGCCTTGCTGGCCTCGGTCGTCGTTGGCCAGCGCCTCCTCCAACAAGATCGCTCGGCGCACCAGTTGATCTAAGTCGGACCAGGCCGTCAGGGTTGCCTCCTTTTTTATCAATGTTCTTTTCAGCTCGAGGCTGGTCGTCGAGATTCGGAGGTTTCCGGCGGCCACGACGGGTGAGATGCCGTCTATCTCGCAAGCTATCGCGTTCCATCGGTCGTAGAACTCGGCAAGCGACTCTTCCTTCTTCTGTCGGCAATTTATGAGAGCCGATACGGTGAGTTTGCGACGTCGTTGAGACGCGAATTTGGTGGAGAAGAGCATCGCAAATTGCTCAAAGTTTTCTATAATCCCTTCCGGGAGGGAGGTGTACCATGTTCGGCATTGGCCGCTGAAGGTAACCGGGAACGCTCGACACAGATCCGAGTCTGTTGCGTTGATGAGTTGCATCTTTAGCATAAATGCGCAAAGATGGTCGGCGGGATCGGATGTTCCGCCGTAGGTAGGTAGTCCCAGAGAGGAGAAGTTGAGGGGAACCGGAGTCTTGAAGAGTTCTTTCGATAGAGGGTTTTGGAGAACGTTCGGGCTCTTGTGCTTCCCGAATGTTGACCGCAAATGTTCCTCTAGAAAGTTAAGATCCGTGTCGTCAGTCTCTGGTCCTCCGCCTTCTGTCCGAGCAGGGATATCGAGGATGAGAGCGCCTTTCAGCTTCTCGTCACGCGTCTTCCCCCTCGATCCCTCGGCGGGGTCATCTCGGGTCTTCAGGAGCTGAAGAATTTGGGAAAGGCTGTCTTGCATGCTCGCGATTTGCATCCCTTGACTCTTGACCACCTCCTCCAGCTCGGCTTTATCTTCGACCCTCGGCGATAAGCCTCGGAGGGTGTTGTTTTCGGTCATCCCCTTGAGGGGGGTTTCGAAGTCGTCTCCCATCTCGTTCGCCACAAAGTCGTGGGGCCCCACGGTGGGCGCCAAAATGTTTGTGCTCGGATTGTTCCAAGCGGTTTGCGAGACTACACTGGCCTTGGGCGGCTTCGATGGTCGAGGGCGGTCTCCGAAATCCTGCAGAAAGGTCCTCAGGGGGTTCCTGGGACCTCCTTCGATGCTTAAGTTAGAGAGAGAAGTGAAGTGTAAGTAAATAAGAGAGAGAATGGAGTTGGTAGAAGTTACCATAAATGTGTCCCATGAGTGGGTATTTATACTAGTGAATGTCGGAGTGAGGATAATTAATGCCCTGTCGGGCGTCCAAGGTCGCATAAGAACCTGTTCTCGGGAGGTTGTCAAGGTCGTACTTTTGTCAGCCTCCGTACCGAGTCAGATGGGTGTCCGTTTGCTGTTATGTCGGGCGGTCCTTTACTTCTGTCGGGCGGTCTTGCCATGCTCACACAGGAAGACCGCCTTGGACCCATTTAGAGGCTCATTGCCCCTGCTCGGGCCCAAATCGTTTCTTCATGGGCTTTGGGTGACCATGGGTCTGGGGGCCCAAGTGCCTCAATATTTGGCCCAACACATTTTGCTAATAATTTGTATTTTAAAAAATTTAACTAATAATTATATTTACTTAAAATAAACATATTTCCCTTCAAATGTGGAGATTCAGCATATGTTATAGCCGGATCTGATATTAGGCTGATAAAACGAGGAGCGTCCACTACAACTTAGTTGGGCCACCACAACAAACAGGCCCTCTCCGGCCTCCGGCCCAGGCGATTTTTCCAGCAAACCCTAATCCAAGATAACGTGGCGGGGTCGCTCACAATTTGGCTCTACTCCGTGCATCGCCTATCTTCTATAAAAAATATATATATATATATATATATATCGCCATCTGATCAAGCAGACGACACCAGTTTCTAATCATCCGACGGTCGATATTAGGCGGCTGCATCAATTTACCAGCGTCAAAGGCGCAGAGGGTAAAAACACCCCTCCACCCGTTCTCTCTTTTCAATTTTTATCCTGCGTTTTGGTGTCGCTGGATATTACAAACGGAAATAGCACACGAAAGGAAAACACAAAACTGATTGCAGAAACACCAAAAAGGATTTATACATCAGATTCACCGGGGAAAGAAAGAGAAAAGGGCGAACCCACCAGCTCGAAGCTTCTCCAACCCCGAGAAGCCGAACCCGTAGCAGCGTAGCTAAAGCCACCAGCTCAACCCCGTACTCTAGAACTCTGCCTGCCACTGACACAGGCGCTGCACTTCGTACTTCTTCGCTTCTGGTGAGTTCTCCTCAGCCACAGCGCGCGTCTCTTCTCGGTTTCTCGCATTTTTAGGGTTTAGTTGCCCAGGTTGGTCCGAATTAGGGTTTTGGAATTCGTATCGTTGATTTTCTCACTGCATTCCGATTGTCGTGCTTTTGAATTGCTGGCTTCCCTTAGGTTCTATCTGTTGTTAATTGAGGAACGGCGGTCTTATTATAGCTGTTCTCTCGACTCCCTCATCCTTCGTGTTTGCTGTAATGGTCAAGTTTATGGGTTTCATAGAGGCAGAAAGCATTTGACTGGTTTGTTTTATTGATGGTATTGTATTGTTGGTCTTGCTCCATAAATTTCAGTCATTTGCCTTTCTGTGAACTGTCTACAGAATAGTGGTGTTTTAGTTTTGATTATTTGCCTAGTTTCGTTAGTTTGATGTACTTTTTGGTTTCTGCTTTGAAGATAAAGGACGTAAATCAAGTATGGGAGACAGTGAGACAGCAGTCGCCCCCGAGCCTATGGTTACTGAATATGCATCAGCTGGCTATAACAATACAATTCCGAACCCGAGTGCTTATGCTTCTGAAACTGCCGAAGGAGGGTATGGAGCTGCATCAGAAGCAGGTTACAGTATGCCAACCGGTGTGAGTGCAGCAGCTGATGGAAGTGCGTATGGTGCAGATCCTAATTCCGTTTTGCATGATGCCCATGGGAATGCTTATCAGGCCAAGAATACTACTGGTGTAGGTGCGGCCACCGAACATGCGCCTGCATCTGTAAATGGAAACATAGGTGGTGAAGGGAAACCTCTGACAACAGTTGAGAATGGGAGTTCTGCAGATGATATGGGTGCGGCAGCCACTACGCAACAGTCATTGGATGGTTCTGGTATGGGTTCTATGACATGCTACCTCCTACATCTATGCTATTGTTATATTCTTTCAACTTCTGAATGGGCATTATTGTAATTTGCTAGCTTGTTTGAAATAATTTTACTCTATGAGTTCTTTGGAGGTTTTCTCATAAGCAAGAAGCTAGCAGTTGAATACGTGTAGGAGTTATCATCTTTGAGCAGTATAGGTTGATACCTAGTTTCATAGTCTGCAGTAGAAGTTTTTATTTATTTGACAACTGATGGAAATGCTAATGAAATTCATACATTGGTGGAAGCAAAATGAAAGTGAGCAGCTTGTCTGCGTGAAATGTATGTTTATGCCTACAAGATTAGGTATTAATATAGGTGTATTTATTTGATTTCAACTGTCATTTATGCAGTATAGGTTTATCTCGTTCTCTTGTTGTGCTTGTTTTATTGGAAAAAAAATATTTCCCCTCATATAAACTTTTCTTTCTGGTGTACAAACTCATCCTTTTCGTTTTTCTTCCTTCAACTGCTGTTTTTTTAATCGAGGACCAATCTGCCCTTTTCTAATTTTTGTTATTTATATATTTGTTCTTCTCTTTGTAGTTCCTGCAACATCACCTGAAGAGGATCGGTTGTGGAACACTGTTAAGGCCAATTCATTGGATTTTGATGCATGGACTGCATTGATAGATGAAACTGAGAAGGTCGCATGGGTATGATGTTACATTTTTCTCCGTCATTACTAGTTATTCTATAGTACATTCGTATGATATATGTTTTGGACTAAATTTGTTGAGGAGCCAAAACTCTGTTGTATATGCTGTCTTTGCTTCCACAATATATTGGAAAAATTAAGTGAAAAAAATGGACTACAGAAGCTTGTTTTGCACAAGGCATTCAATTCCGTAAAAGCGCTCCCTGCTTGTAGCTTAAGTAAATAGTAAGACTGAAGCTTGATTTGGTTGTTCTCAAGTCTGTTGAGATGCTGGGGCATAGCATCCTTTTTTACTTGTATGTAGGGCTGCAAATGAGCCAAGCCGCTCGCGAGCAACTCGGCGTTCGAATCGGAAAAAACTCGTTCGACACTCGACTCGTTATTTAACAAGCCGGCTCGCGAGCCAACTCGTTAGTTAACGAGCCAAGCCTGAGCTAGACCATGCTCAGCTTGATAAGCTCGCGAGCTAGCTTGATTCGGTGGCTTGTCGAGCTAAGCTCGCGAGCTGCCTTGTTTTGAGCTTGTGGAAGGATGAATTACTCTTTTAAACATGAACATTGTCTTATAATACAGATGTGTATGAAATTTAGATGTTATTTCTAGTTTCTAGTGTTCTTTCTATCATTTAAATTCTTATGTTTATACATTTTTCCAGCAAAAATGATTTTAAATCGAGCTCATCTTGAGCCGAGCTTGTACTCAGCTTAACAAGCTATGTTAATGAGCATTTATCGAGCTCTACCGAGTCGAGCTCGAGCTAGATTATTTTTATTCAAGCCGAGCTCGAGCTCGAGCTGGATTATCAAAATTCGAGTTCGAGCCGAGCTCGAGCTGAAAAATTAATAAACGAGCCGAGCTCAAGCTAAGCAAAAACTCGACTCGACTCGGCTCGTTTGCAGCCCTACTTGTATGACACACTTTGAACTCTACTTTGAAACTTGCTGTAGATATGCTAACCATACGTTTTCTGTCTTCAAGTATAAGATCAAATAATGAAAAAGCAAAACCACATCCACTTTCGTGAGTGGCCGATAGTCTGAGGCTTCGTTTCTACTTGTTATTTTGGTTTCTTTGGTTGTTGTTTCATGTCCGGCTGAGCAGGAAATGCTTGCTGTACTGCGTTTGTCATATTTTGATATCTGGACTAAATTTGAATTGTTTTGCTTACCATTTTAGTTTGTCTTTGCTCTTTTCAGGACAAGATACTAAAAATTAGAAGAGTTTATGATGCTTTCTTGGCTGAATTTCCATTGTGCTATGGTTATTGGAAAAAGTATGCTGATCATGAGGCACGCCTGGGTGACATGGACAAAGTATTGGAGGTGTATGAGAGAGCTGTTCTGGGGGTGACATATTCAGTGGATATTTGGTTGCATTATTGCACATTCGCCATTAGTACATATGGTGATCCAGAGACTATTAGAAGGTAATATGAGTAGATTTTTTACTGGGTGATTTTCATTCTAGGTTGCTCCTTTGAGTGATTTCTTGTGTCATGAGGTTGTAGCATTTTCTTTTTTGGTGTTCTCTAACATTATTTCAGTCTGCCTGCAACAGTGATCCTCATGTAATGGCGAGTGGTGTGATGGGAATGAGTAAAAAATGCATTTTTTATGTGCAAACCTTGATTATGGGGTTTCACTATTGGTTTCTGTTTCAGTGTTTCTTAGGTCGTTCCTTTTCGGTTTTTGTTTTCCCTTTCCCCGTCCCTTAATACCTTTTCTCCGTTGTTGGAAGGTTTGCGTCATAGTAAATAGTAGTTTGTAAACCATGGCTTTCTTAAACATTGACACTCTGAAGTGCATCAATATGCAAAATGCTGCTGGGAAGATCCCGTCCTGTTAAAAGGACTGAGATGGCCTGATTCAATGCTCCCTTTCAGACATAGTATGGGTTTTATCGGGAAGGTAAATGCAGCATTTAGATGTGTCATGAGAGTGAATTGTTTCTTCTCCTTCAATGTTCGTGCATTCTCACTCGTCTATTAACGCATCTGCGTTGACCTAGTTTGACACTTGTGTGATCTTAATGATGTTTTGCTGCATGCAACAGGCTTTTTGAACGAGGGTTAACATATGTTGGAACAGATTATTTGTCTTCTCCGCTTTGGGACAAATACATTGAATATGAGGAAATGCATTCAGAGTGGGCCCGGGTTGCATCAATATACACCAGAATACTGGAGATCCCAAATAAACGTCTGGATGATTATTTTAATAGGTAAACTTTTGTAGCACCGACTTGTCAAAACTTATTTACCTGATATTTATTCTTTGCTATTTAGAATTATTCTCTAGGTGGCAAAAATCGTTACTTGGATTTTGTTTTCTTCTGTTAATGTGGATATAAGTTGCATTAAGATGTTTATTCCATTTTTTTTTCTGATAGTGTTGATAATGTATGCTGGAATAAGCATAGCTATGATGTATGTTTCTTTCCTGCGGCATGCTGATGCTGAGCTCTTTTAACACTTCAATGCTGCATGTCATGATTCATTTTCTCGTACTTTCTGGCTTTGTAGGTTTAAGGAATTTGCTGCAAGTCGACCTCTGTTGGAATTAAGATCTGCAGAGGAAACTTCTGCTCCTCCGTCTGGTCATTCTGAGAATGGTAGCCAAGCAAGTGAAGGAGTTGTTCATCCTAATGAACAAGAAGACTCTTCTAAACCTGTAAATGCTGGCTTAACAGAAGCAGAGGAGTTGGAGAAGTATATCGCGCTTAGAGAAGAGATGTATAAGAAAGCTAAAGAGTTCGATTCTAAGATCTCTGACTTCGAAAATGCTATCAGGAGGCCCTACTTTCATGTGCGGCCTCTAAATGTTGCAGAGCTTGAAAATTGGCATAATTATTTGGATTTCATCGAAGGACAAGATGATCTGAATAAGGTATTGGAGTTTTTGGTCCATCTTGGTTATAATTTGATATGTAGTTTTTGTTTTTTTAGTTGCTGTTATGAATTGACTTACAGCTACATAGTATCGGCTGCTTCTTGTGCTTTATTGGCTAAACCGTTGGATGAAGCAACTTTTTAAACGGGAAATTGAACTGAGGCTAAAGCCTGGGGTCTTCGATTTGGTTTCTATAAGGCTAAGTACTTCAAACCCTCACATTTGTTAGTGGACATTCTAGGTTCATGTATGTGTTAAATTATTCTTCTTCTTAAAACAAATATGTTATGAATGCAGGTATCTTCTTGTCTCCTTAAGAATCTATCTCAGCATGGAGGGTCCCTCCTTTGGTATTTGAGGGGCCTTTCTGTTCACCGATGGAGTATTTCTTATGCATAACTCTTTTGTGCTTTGATCCTTTCTGTACCTTGTTTACGTACCCCTACATGTCCCATGGTTCATGATGTTTGGATTTTTGTGGATCAGGTTGTCAAATTATATGAAAGGTGCCTAATTGCCTGTGCAAATTATCCCGAGTATTGGACACGCTATGTCTTGTGCATGGAAGCCTGTGGAAGTATGGATATAGCTGATAACGCTCTTGTTCGTGCAACTCAAGTATTTGTAAAGGTTGTCATCCTCAATTATTCTCGAAACCATAATGTTGGCCATCATTTCTTCCCGTGTGCTGTTTGGTGTAGCATGCCATTTGGAATCAAGTAAAGAAGCAAAGTGAATCTGATCTGATGAATCATGAAACTCTTAAACTAGAATTTAATACTGTATGCATGCATTTTTGCTGCTTGTAAGCTTTAGGTTTCAATTAGAAGTCAAACTGTAGAAGGGTAAGGGAACCAGTCCATGCTTTTAAAAAATTGGATCCATGAACCCCTCAATATCTGTGAAAGTTAATGAGTTTGTTGGCAGATGTCTAGGACCTTAGGTGGTTTTCTCTTTTGCTTCAAAAGATTTGCAGAAAAGAAAATTGTTGATTATTTGTACTCCCACTCCCCTTGTGAATGACCACTGTTTTCTATTTGTTGCACCTGTTTTTGCTCCGTGACTCAAAAAGTTTGTTTCTTGTGCCTTATTATTAACAGAGACAGCCAGATATTCATCTATTTGCTGCCCGATTTAGAGAGCAGAATGCAGATATACCTGGTGCTCGGGCAGCATATGAACGAGTGCACACTGAGATTGCACCTGGGCTTTTAGAAGCAATCATTAAGCATGCAAACATGGAATATCGGCTTGTAAGTTCGGATCAGTACAAATCCAATTAAGCGCAATTCCTTTTAATAGATATTTCGTAAGTGTTTAGGATTTTTTTTCTTCCTTTTGCAGGGGAATCTTGAAACTGCTTTCTCTTTATATGAACAAGCCATTGCCATTGAAAAAGGGAAAGACCAATCCCAGGTGCTGCCAATGTTGTATGCACAATATTCTCGATTTGTGTATCTGGTAAGTTGGATGCTTCTTTGGGTTGCATGGTTTACTGTCATTGTTATGGCATTTTGGAATTTTCAGAAGTTGCTAGCCTTCCTTACCCACATACATAATCAGGCACTTAGTAGGAACTGAATTTTGGCTTGAGGTTGCAGATCTGGATAAATGAAGTCATTATAAATACACTGTAGGAAAATAATGAAGTATTTGCAGGACTAGAATGGGCGGACCATATGCATTCATATCAATGAGAAGAGTGGTAGAGATAATGAGATATGCTTACTTTAATAAAAAGGATAAATGAACTTCATTACTTTGTCTGATTTAGCTAATTCTGGTTGTTAGTATAATTTCTGTCATGGTGCTATTCTGTATGGATATTTATTTTCCATGCAATCTTCTTGCTAGGCTTCTGGAAATGCGGAGAAAGCAAGGGAAATTCTAGTTACAGCTCTCGATCATGTCCCATTTTCCAAACCCCTACTTGAGGTTTGCTCTCCCAACACTCTTTTTTACCTCTACATGCACTTGGAGATTCTCTATATATCAACTGGGTTATTTTAGTTGTGTAATAGTTCTCCCTGGACAGTGCATCATTCTTGACATTAACTGATGGTCATCCTTTTTGTTTAAAATACAGGCGCTTATACATCTGGAGTCAATTATGTCCCTTCCAAAACGAATTGACTACTTAGATTCCTTGGTTGACAAGTTCATTGCACCTAGTTCTGATAGTACTGCAAGCCCTGTGGAGAGGGAAGAGCTATCGTGCATTTTCCTAGAGGTGATGTAATTCCTTGTCTTAATTTTCTCATCTGGCACAGGTTGAGTTTTGAGTCCACAATGTGCTCGCATATATCTCCTCTGTGCGGTTCGAGTCAAACGTGATGATACTTTCCATTGACGGAAACAATTGTGTTGTTCTCTTGGATTTCTCATTACTGACATTTTTCCCCTACAGTTCTTAAGTGTATTTGGGGATGTACAATCAATCAAGAAGGCTGAAGACCGTCATGCTAAGCTCTTTTTGCCCCATAGGAGCAAATCAGAGTTGAAGAAGCGTCATGCTGAGGATTACTTGTCCTCGGATAAGAGCAAAGTCGCAAAATCTTACACTGATTCTGCTTCACCTGCACAATCTGTGATGGGTGCATACCCAAACGCACAACAAACCCAGTGGCCAGCTGGTTATGGTGTACAACCTCAAGGTTGGCCTCCGGCTACCCAGGCACAGCCACAGGTTCAACAGTGGGGACCAGGCTATACACAAGTAAGTTTCCTTCCTTTTGTTCTTGGTGTTTCTATATGCCATACTTTTTAAACTGCTGGAATAATTTTAGTAATTTGATCTCACTGCATGCCTGATTCCTCTCCTCCCTATGAACATTACTCCTTGATTGTTCGTATATGCTGTTACTTTTCATGCATCAAACCAACATTTCTGTATGTTGGTTTGGATGTTGGCATTTGACATATTATTTTCAGCCCCTCAGGATGCCCTCTTAGAAGATTTGATCCTTGTAGGCTGTCTTGCATCCAGAACTTTTTGGGGGGGAAGTAATAACCATCTGTTTTTGTTGTTGTTGTTGTTGTTGTGGCAGCCTGCCTATGGTGCATATGGCGGAGCAGCGTATGGAGGCAGCTACCCTTCTTCGCAGGTGCCCACATCTGTTGCGCCAACTGCTGCATACGGTGCTTATCCTCCTACCTATCCTCCCCAGGTAAAGAAGAAAGAAAGTTTACCTCCCTATATTGTTGCTCTTCTCTAGCTTCGCATTATCTAACATCTCTTGTAATTTTTTGGGGGGTGTTTCAGCAGCCGCAGCAGGCAGCGGCCGCGTTTCCTCAGCAGACCTATGCTCAACCGGCCGGGGCAGCAGCGTTAGCACCGGCTCAGCAGCCAGCTGCAGTTCCACAGCCCTATTATGGGAGTTACTACTGAAGCAGCTGCTGATTGGCTTTTTTGAACTCTCCCCTCTTTGTCATTGAATTTAATGTAACAGTGGAGGCTGGAGGGGAGTTTTTGAACTAGTGTCAGGGGAGAGTGTTAGCTCAGATACAGAAAGAGAGAGGCCTAGGAAAGGCGAGAAATATGACCAAATCTCATGTCTAGTTGTAGAGTATTCAGTTCGTAGCTGGTATACTTTCACATGTGTCTTGAATTTTTTTTATTTTAAAAGAGCTCGGCCTTGTTTTGTTGGTTTTATTACCCTATTCGTTTCTCTGCTGTTCATTGATCTCTGGTTGGCAATTCTGCCGAATCTATACGGTATTTTACGATCCTAACGCAACTACGTGGTAAGTGGTAAGTAGATGGGTAGATGTATGTTGATAGGTACATTTATTCGAGTTGGATAGAATTTTTAATCCATGAATTTTGATTTGTACTCATTCAATTCAATTATCTATATGCAAATTCTAGTTTGGTACTTAAAACCTAATATATGTTTGATTTTATAGACAAATTAATATTTTTTATGAGTACTAAAAGTATTGATGGTAAAATTACATTTTAGTATCAACTTTTTTTGTGTATTACATTTTGAAACCTAAAATTTTTAAATTTTATAAATTGGGAAAATTTTGTTTGTGTAATCGAAACAACCTCCAATAAATGTATATTCATACCTTACCAATGCTTATTTAGTGTATGGAAACAGTATTCATGCCCTACCCAAACTCGTTTATAAAATCGCTAACTCATATATAATTCACCCATATTCTACTCATAAGTCATAATTAATGGATTACTTGAATTTGGATAAAATTAACATGAGTTAAATCTTCGATCAAGCTATGCTGATGTGCCGTGACTGGGGAGATTCTGTTTATTGAGTGAAAATCCTATCAAAGATTGTGGCTAGGTTAAACTTGTTTTTTGCTAGAGTTTTTACTTTTTAGTATTCTGTTCAAGAAAAGTAAGTGACCGTTTGGCTGAAATATTATGAGAGGTTATATAAAATTACTGAAAATTATACATATAAATATAAATAGAAAAATTAGAAATTAAAATACTTAAAATGAGTATTTTTAGATTTCTTATATTGCATAATTTTTTTTTATTTCTTCCAATTTTAAAATATTATAAATAGAAAATTGTATGTTTTCTAAAAAAAAAAAAATTTGAAAGTATGAATTTGTATTTTAGAACCAAAACAGACAAAATTGTCGATCTTATTGTTGTAATGGTCGACCAGATGTACTATTTTCCATTTTGCTATGCTCAACAAACGGTAACCTCTTACACTAAAAAGTCGTCCACTATACAAATTCTAAGTTTTGTAAATGTTTTGCATATTTATTTCTTATATTTGACTTACATTATAGAGACTTTCATATTTCCTTCAAATTCTAAGTTTTCTTGTTTTTATCCTATAGTTGTCTTGTGATGGATCAACTTTGTTGCTATTGTTGTTATGAAGATGCTCAAAAAGTAAAATATATTTGTTATACAATTATGTCATCAGCAACATCCATAAATCTTATATCATTGATTTTGTGGTTTTTTATTCTAGAGGAGTTAAAAGAGGGGTTTTTTTTTCTTTGCCTATAACCTGCGTAGGGATCTTAGAGAGGACAACAGAAGGTGGGAAGCGGCAAGGGATTAGGGTTTATTTCTCTTAATTGAATAAAAAGAACACATAGCAAGATAATAAACATAGAAGAAAAGGAATATTTTGGGGATAAAGCTAAAGCGAGGAAGGGATGCAGGGGGTTTAATGTGTTTAGAGGAGTATTAGGGTCGTTTGGATGGATCAATTTAGAAATGAGTCAATTTGATCAAGTGTCTCGTTTATAAAACGAGACAATAAAAATGAGTCCATTCGAATTATCTGTCCCCATCCCAGGTAATTGAAATTGACTCAAAACGGATCAATTCAAAATACCTCAGGCAGATTGATCCATCCAAATTTTTTGTTGGCAAACGAGGCAATTTGGTACAATTGTCTCAAAACGAGACAATTGTGTCAAATTGATCCGTTACAATTCCTCATCCAAACGACCCTTTCTGGATTAAGGCTGTTAAGCTAAAGTCTCTAATACCATATATGAGTTTTATGAATAGTAACTTGTAACTTGTATTATTATGAAATCGTAAAATGATTTATATAATTACAAGACTTGTACAATAAGTAAGAGAACCATAATAATTATAATACTAGAAGGACACAGAAATACTAAGAACTATAATAAAACGACAAGAAAATATAAGATTATTCCTAATCTGTCTCTACCAGAGGGAGAGAGAGATAGAGGTTAGAGCTTTTGAGAATTTGCTAAGGGTCGGCGATATCCAGAGGAAGGAGAGAGGGTGAGCTAGATCAACAGAAGCAAAAGCGACCGAAGGAGGAGACAATGGCCTTGCCACCGCACCCAAATCTCATCCTTGGACTTCGATGAAGGTGTTCGAGAGAGAGAGAGAGAGAGAGAGAGAGAGAGAGAGAGAGAGAGAGAGACGATGATAGTCGTCGTTGCCGCATGAGAGAGAGGAGGAGCTTAGTTGGTGGTCGTTGTTGGCATCTAGGAGAGTAGGAGGCAATGCTGGGAGGGAGGGAATGAGAGAGAGAGAGAGATCAACTAAAATGGAAAGAGAAAGATGAAGAGTAATAGACAAACATGAAAAGGAGGCAATGTTGTTACTAAGGGTTACAGAGTCAAAACGTGACCCGCGTCCCTAAGTTGTCTCTACCCGTCTCGACCCTTACAGGGTCAACAAATGACCCCTCCCTAATCTGATCCTGTAGACAAACTGACCCGTCCCGACCCTTAGGGACGGGACAGGTCAGAACGGTTAGTGGGTTTTTCGGGTCAAAGCTTTCATTCCTAACTGTTGAATATGATTATTGTACTTAAATCGTAAATGACGTAGTGTAGTGTAGAATTATTGGGCCAATTGTATTAATGGCCTATTAGGCCCATGCAACTCACGTCGACCCATGGAAATGACGTGTGTGCTAGGGTTGAACTGGAGACATATAGCGCAGTCTGTGATTCCTGTATTGATCACCGAAAATCATCTAGTAAAACTACAGCCGAAGAGTGTTCAAGCTCTTCCGTGGATTAATCCTGGAATTTCCAGGGATACCACGTAAATCCGTTGTCCATTGTCCGTTTCTGTATTTGAGTTCTCAATATGCTATCAGAGCTTCAGTCAATTGAATCCGATCGTCCCACCGTTAGTCTGAATGCAACAAATTTTGCACTCTGGGAATTCCAGTTCCGCGTTTTCGTAGAAGGCAAAGGATTACTGAGCATCCTTGATGGCACACAGGCCAAACCTGAAGGCGCCGCCACTACGCCTCAAGCTGTCGCCGCCTGGACCCAAAATTATGCACGAGTCAGGTTTTGGTTGTTGGGATCAGTGGATCCGTCCACTTGTCTCAGTCTCCGTCTGTACCCAACAGCCAATCGTATGTGGCGTCACCTCTCCGTCATGTATTCCACGAGTCAGGTTTTGGTTGTTGGGATCAGTGGATCCGTCCACTTGTCTTAGTCTCAGTCTATACCCAACAGCCAATCGTATGTGGCGTCACCTCTCCGTCATGTATGTGGCGTCACCTCTCCGTCTGTACCCAACATCCCGTCAGTTCGAGATACAACTAGCTTTGACTCGCCTCGAACAAGGCGAACACACCGTCTCCGAGTACTTCAATGCCGCGCAAGAGCTCTGGACAGAGCAAGACCTTCTACATGCTGCCATTCATCCCCAGGCAATTCTCACTGAAGACGCGATCGCCGAAAGGATGCAGACCAGGCTTTTGAATTTTTTGATGAAATTGCGCCCGGAATTCGAATCTGTCCGGGCAACCTTGCTGAATCGAGACATCCTTCAGTTCGATGGGGTGCTGGGTACGCTTATGAGAGAAGAGATTAGGTTAAGAACGCAAGCTACTATAGACTTGCGACTTGGGGAGGGGGAATCTCTAGTTGCTGCAGCTGCCACGCACGGAACTCTAAGTGGGGGACATGATAATTTGGCATATGCAGTGGATCGACCTCAATTTCAACGCATGGTTCCCGTATCTGATTTGGAATGTCATCACTGTCGAGAAAAAGGTCATGTCCAAAAGTATTGTCGTAGAAGGAACTTCTGCGTTTACTGTAAACGCATGGGGCACATTATCCTTGATTGTCGAACTCGAGAGAGGAATGAAACTCGTGAGGGTGGTCCACCTTCTCGAGGGAATTCCAGAAATTATCAGTCACGATTAGGATATGGAGAACGTACTGATCGGACTACTTTTGGGGCATATACGAGCGATGATGGTGGAAGTTGGAGGCCTGGTCCTCCTCATAATAATTGGAGACAAAGTCCTCCTTGTAATAATTGGAGGCAAAATGGTCGTTCCACAGGGACAATGGGAGAAGCAAGCAGCAACACTGGAAATCAACAAGGATCTCGTGCAGGGGCTGCTGGGGACGTAGGATCATCAACTAGTGGTGTTACTATGGATGCCGTAGAGCATATTGTCTATTCAGCAATCAACGCCGCATTTGCTACTCTCAATGGATCGGGTAAGACTCATTCCCCTTGGTTGCTTGATTCAGCTTGTTATAACCATATAACGCATGAGTCTCGTGCTTTGAAAAATTTGTCTCCGGTGAACAATATAGAATTAATGGTTGCGAATGGATCAAAGCTGAAAGTTAATGGCATGGGTGATGTAGGGGTGAAGGGAATGAATTTACAGAATACTTTGCATGTGCCAGCTCTCGTTCCTAATTTAGTTTCTGTTGGGCAACTTACTGAGCAAGGTTATACTGTATCGTTTGCACCGTCTGGTTGTCTTGTACAAGATTCGAAGACTGGGAGGCCGATCGGAAGGGGGAGTAAGATAGGCAGGCTATTTCATCTTGAGGAACTTCATGGGAATTCAGTCTCTCCTGTTGTCCATAGTTCGTTCAATAGGTCTGTCAGTAGTCCTGTGTCATCTAGTTCTT